GACTGAAATCCGTGGTGGCTCAAGCTGACTGTTTGGTTTACTGGCTCTCCACGCCTCAAGTTATGGCTTACTGCTCACAATCGAGTTGCAGCCCACTGAGCAGCTCATAACCATCTTGTTGCTGCTGCTAATCAGACGTTTGGTTTACGCTCAGCTCAAGGCTGCTGAGTGGCTCAATGCTAGAGTCGAGCCATTTATTGTGAGGATAATGGGAGCATTGTGAAGGGAACGTTTGTATCAAATTCACAACAATACCAGAAAAATGATTAAAAGCGAAGACTTCATTACGAAGAAAATGATTCTGTGCTGCTGCATTCGTCGATTATGGAAACATGCATGAAATGATTTCATTTGGTGAGTTTCGGAAGACAATTATGCAAATCCAATGAACTCTTTCCATAGAAATTGACGAGAGTATGTTGTTTTTTCTACTCAGAATTCAAAAATCCCTAATAATGGTCGATTGTGGATGCATTAAACACTCTTCTTTACACATAACCATAGAAAGTAGGAGATAACAGAAGTGATAATCTGCCGAGAAGAAGGAATTGGACGAATTTGAGCGAAATAATTTCGCAATATAATAACAAGAGGTCTTGAATAACTGAGATTAAATGCGATACAAAGATGGGAGTTAAGTGTTGTCAAGGTAAGAATCAATGAAACTTTTACGATAGCACAACGAGGTTGATTCCAACTTACAGTTTGATNTGTTGTCAAGGTAAGAATCAATGAAACTTTTACGATGACACAACGAGGTTGATTCCAACTTACAGTTTGATTTCAATCGAGTAACGTACAATAGCATTACGCTCCTCGTCATTCAGCAAATGACACTATCTTATACGGCACTGAGTTAATAACGCTGATCAACAATAACGCTCGTGCAAACTACTTCCGACTGCTTTCGTTTGTAACCTCATAAGGATGTCACATTGATGATATACGTTAACACTTCACGGAACCAGTTGTAAATTTCTACGGCAGAATGATGATAAATACACGGTTAGAAAATACTGTTGACGAGAACGAGGGAGTGTTGTTTGTTTCGTAAACAAATATTCGATTCAAATTTTCAGTGCTTACTGGAAGGATTCATCATCAGTCGTGCAAGTGAAGCAAAGAAATTCCATTCAAAACATTGCCCACTGCAGATTTTCTTGAGGATGACGTGCTGAATGATCGATCGGTTATTCCAATTGGTTTCTCAAGTACAATGTGAAGCGCATTGGTCATTCAAGCATTCAGACCGAAAATGTGATTCGATGAAATCATCGCGTTAAAGTTTCACGGAAATGATGATAAGCCAGGTTGTAATTGCTGATTGAAAAATAAGAGGATAAATAGGTGAATGATAAGCAATCGTTTGAGATGAATGTATTTGTAGCATATTGAGGTAGTTGTTATTCTCCCATATGCGGCAGCTGTTATTTGCTAGTGGCCAACGGACCAGTTTAAAGTGAAATGTAATGAAAATGTTAGCAACGATGCAGAGTTCATTGCAAAAATTTGGGACGGTGATGATAATGATTATAATTTGGTTGGTGCCAATGAGAGGATAGATGATCGACTGATTGCGTATTGATAGTCGAATCACACAATAACTAAGCCTGAAAATTCATTGAATCAAACTTACATTCGAGTGAACTGGATTAGAGATCGTTTCCTTTCACTCGAACAAAAAAAAATTACGATCTCAATATGAATGGCGTAATGGAAACGTATCTCTGAGGTCAGGCTTCTCACGGACATGCACAACAATACAAAATTCTTATTGATAACATTGCTGAGAGGGACAGAGAGCGAGCGAGCTAGTGTATCGTGGACGTACGTGCTTCTTAGTTTTTATAGCGCTAACAATTAGTTAAAAAAAGACGATTACAGTGCAACACGATAAGCTGTGAATAGAGCTTGAAATATGGCTGTTGTGTGAACAGCCGTACTTATTCATTGAAATGATATTAGAACGTATCATATGAATGAATAATAGAACAACAAAACTAGTAATGAATTGTTGTGTAATACCATGTGGCAGTGGAACAACTAATTATCTCAACGTGTCATAAACACATACACACACACACGCATACATAGACAAACGACGACCTAAACGTTCGGTTCATTTGGTATTCATGGAAAGTTGATGGTAACCGAGGAGTGATGCGATGGATGTTTGATTTATTCAGTGGATTAGTTG